TAAATTCAACGTTTTAGCTTTTTCATATTCCTTTACATGTCACTACGTTTAAATAGGTTGACTTGGGACATTTTTTTCGTGGTTTTTGTATTAGACCCGTCGTCCATTTATTTGTAAGTCAATGGATATGTACGCTCAATTTCGGCAGTCATTCTACAACCGCTCAATCGACCCCCTATTCGATCTACATGCATTAGATCTACATGCATCCTCTTTTTATTATCGATTGTTTCAGACAAAATGAAAATTTAAAAGCTGCCCAGTTGATATTCGATTGGAAATTGAAATTTCTCAAGATATCCCGAGTTATACCAGTGCTTACTGTCTAATTATTAACGGGCGCCTTGTGGAGTATAGACCATTGAGTAATATTGTGCGCAAGTTATCGTGATATTTCTAGTTTGAAGAATGCTTAATATGCGTGCTATTGTGGATGCTCAAGGTTTTACAATTTCTGACAATAAGTTTTACTGAAAGAAATTGCTAATGCGCACGGTAATCAAGTGCATTTTTTTTTTAATTGAAGCACCATTTCCTTAGAAATAAAAACTGTGGACTGATAGAAAGAAATCGGAAAGTACGATAGAATGAAGGTTTTACACCACATACGAACCACAAAATGTTGGTTACGAAATTTCTGAAAGATAAAATTATTTATTAAAAAGGTTTTGAAAAAATGTTGTGGATAAGAGATAGTAGGATATAATAATGTTTACAATTTAGAAGACAATGGTTGTCCTAGCATTAATAATTTATATAAGGAATATTCATCATGTTTAAGGAATTGGTGTTTAAATAACAATAAAATTTGTTAAAAGCATTTTTTCATGTTTTTTTTATTTCTATGTTGACTGCTTTCTTTTACCTTACTTTCCCGAAATACAGAGACAAAAATAAACGCAAACTAACACTTACTGTTTACTTATAAAAAATACTATCCGCTAGATGTGTAACGCAGTGATAGTTATTATTAAGAGGGAGCATGCCAAAAAAGTTTTGACGTTGGCTCCGTCCAAATTGTGTGTATGTGCGCGAACTTCAGGCATATATGTGAAACAAATATATGCCTAAAGTTCGCGTGACATGCGACAGGAGATGTTGAGTCAAAGACTTTGACATGCTCAAGTGAGAAATGACTTTCTCAAGTGAGAAAGTCAAAGCCAAAGTCAAAGTCATCAATATTAAAGGGATTAAAAAAAATCCGTAGTGACAGTTCTCGATCATGCATAAATATAATTAATTATCTAATTGTTGTCCTAATAACCTGTAGCATTTCGAGGATGAATCGAAAAAATGTGAAAATTAGAGGTCATTTCGTGATTTTTATCTATCGAGGAAACTTTATTGTTTTATGTTTCTGATTAATGTCTATGCTTGAATATATCGTGTAGTTACTCATACAATATTTTATTTTTAACTTTAAAGTGGATATATACCCCTCTAAAATCAAATCGAAGATTAGGAATTTTTCCTCTATATCAATAAAAACATAAAATCATTACTGTAATCTAATAATAGAAACTGGAACGCAGCGAAATTCCCAGACAACTGTTTAATACAATCTATAATTATAAGAGTAGACGTAGCTTCAATATTTTTTTGAAATTAGATTTTGTATCTGTTATGTAACTAATAAATCAGCTAGTGAATGGGATCAGATTGGTTTCTTTCAATCTTTGCAATTGTCCTACAGAAATGCGATGGGATAATTAGGGATCCTACGTTATACCCTACTGTCATTCTTCTTTACAGATTAACTGACTATCTTGTAGTAAATTTAGTAGCAGTAGAGCTCCTAGTGAACCCCTTCGTTCATTCAGGTTAGTACTGCCACCTTACCTATTTCTGCCGACAAGCAGTAATGTCAGCATTACTGTGTTCTAGTTTTGAAGGGTAAGGGTGCTGGTGAAATTACAGGCACTTGGGGTTTGTCAACTTATGTCTCAGGGTGACGGGCGCCGTGGCAGTGCCCCTCAGATTTGTGATTTAAAGCTCAGAGTGGCACCACTACTTGTTCGTCCCGTCACTTAATAATATTATATTAAAAAAAAAGAAAAATTAAAGCGCCAGCGAAATCTTTCCCTTCTGATAGGGTCAATGACACTACAATCCCAACAGTACTATGACAAGTAAAAAATCAGTTTCACTTAATGAGCGAACAGGATAGAAATCTCGATAATTTTTATCATTCATATCACATCATTTGTAAACTTCTCATTTTTAGTGGTCGAAGAACAATAAAAAGAAACATGAGCACGTAAAAAAGGAGGTAAATGAAGTTTTCCATTCTAATTAAATTCCCTGACGGATTTGTTACACTTACCTTCGCCAGTCACAGATTGCCGACCCGCGCGTGTCACTTTACGAAGTTTATGTAACGGTTCGCCTTCTGAAAGAGAAACCACTATTGTGTTAATGTTTTCTCGACTCAGGCGGAACAGTATGCACGGCTCAGGGCTCGAGAGCATGGGACTTAATGTTATAGAAACAATTTAAATTACATAATATACACATATTATACCTTCATCTGTCACTACTATTACATGACACTATAACGAGGGCGCTTCGATGCGTTCGAAATAATTATTAATACAAAGATCGAACGCTCAGAAAAAATTCTTTCGATCTGGCCGGATTCGAACCGACGTCTTCTAGCATACTGCGACAAACGCTATACCAACTAAGCAGCGGACCTCACGAATTTTTCTACGTGCTTGCGTCGTATGTTTGTATTTGGTTTTCCAACGACTTTTTAGCCGTAGCGCCATCTATGAGAAATCTATGAAATTTCGTCACCCAGTTAGATACCTTTACAGCTACCAGCCCCGGCTAGAGATGACGCTATTCATTGTATTTAAATTTTTATTGAATTGATATTGAATTATTTTTATGTGAAATTACTCCACTAGTTTGTTATAATTAATACAAAGATCGAATACTCAGGTAAGTCCTTACCTTTCTTACGATGTTTTAAAAATTCCAAAGGTGTTTCTTCCTCGTCTAAGTCGGAGGATGTATCATCATCGTCCACTTTTTCTGATAACAGAGCCGATTTTTTTATTTTCGTCTGCTTTTTAAGTTTGGGTTTGAAATAGACCATTTTCTTTTTTATTTTCAATTTTGGTGGCGGCAGCATAAATTTATTTGGCGGGGCAGTTGTCAAACGTTCCAATACCACCACGGGATCGAAGTGGGTGTGGACACCTGGAAATACATAATCAATATTAATTGACGCGATATTTTAAGTGTGTGATGTTAAGACCGCAGAACAATGAATACAGTAGAAATGCTTAGAGGGCGAGACACATGTGCCGACTTTCCTATATCTATGTGGTGCCAACAGTAAGCACAGTTCCACATAGTTGTGGTCAGTCCGCCGTTTTCGCTTTGTACGTTATGGTCGGGTCAATTATCTCACGCAAAACCTCGAAAATCGTGGAAAAATCTCTTATTTTGTTATTTTGGAGTGCAAAAATGATTGTCACATCTCAGTACAGAGTACTAAAAGAACCGACCTCAAAAGTAAGTGGAATTACGTCTATTTGCTAAGTTTTATTGAAATATCCCCTAGTTCGCCACTATACAGGACTTGACCCCTTGACAGGTACCCCCTTTCCAACAAAAAAAGAATCATGAAAATCGGTTCACAAATACCGGAGTTATCGCGTAACATACGTACAAAAAAAAATGATCATACAGACGAATTGAGAACCTCCGCCTTTTTTGAAATCGGTTAAAAAATTTATGCTTGTTTACACTTCACCGTTCTTTATTAAATCCTAACCAATCAAGTTGTCAACTGAGATGATATCACCCAAGACGCTGACGGTTAAACTCTAATAATACAGAAAAGCTTGTGAAGAATCTCGAAAACAGAGTGGCATATCAGTCAATACGCACTCAAAACCGGATTCAAGGGCTGTTTAATAATACAGGCCTACTACAACCTTTTAAAACAATATTACTTTAACCTTACATTGACTTTTCGTACCATAATTGTTATTTAAGCCTCGTAAATATATCAACCTAAAGTCTGTCTTTTTTGAAGACGGAGTAAAATGCCAGTTCATTGCGCAAAAGTGTTGCCTGCGTGCGAGCAGCTAGTGATTGCAGTCGATAAATATTCTATAGACTATCGAGTAAATAATTGTCACGCTTATGAAATAAATAGCCGAAATTGTTTTATTTGAATCATCTTCGACCCATTATTTATCAAATTACTGAACACAAGTTCATTTGAATTGAAAATTTTTGTAAGTTCATACATACATACACGTATTTAGAACAATGTTCATGAAAAATTCAAAGAGGAAACATGTTTTAAAGTTTTTCATTTTAATTCAATATATACATATACAGGGTGTAAATTTGAGACGGGGCAGCAAGGCCAGCTAGCTGCCTTAATCGTTGCAGTTACAGGAAAACGGTTCTAGAAGAATATCCATGAATTTTGAAGATATTAAGGGTCGTATTCCAGAACTCTACTCAATGCTCAAGTCAGGACTTGAGCAGACTTGAGTATGATTTCATGCACTGGAAATACGACCCTAACAAGAATTTGAGTATGATTTTCAGTGCTCACTGCAAAACTCAAGTCCTAATTGAGTAGAGTTCTGGAATACGACCCTTAGATTGGCATCCACAGATTTTGAAAAAATGGTACAGTCAGCAAGATAAAAGGCAATTTCTACAAAACTTTTTTTTTATGTCATTCGATTTGGTCTCTCGTAAGGATCAATAGTCTCTATGAGACCAAAACTCTTACCTCAAGAGTATTCTAAATGTCAGAAATAGCAAAAATCTTTTTACATATATATATATATATATATATATATATATATATAT